AACCACAACCCATAGAAGGCGGGTTGCGACCTGCAGCTAAACAGTGATTACAGGGATATGTATAACATTAAATGCTTATATTAGAAAAGAAGAAAAATCTCAAATTATTAATCTAAGCCTCAACCTTAAGCGATTAGAAAAAGAAAAGCAGAATAAAATCACGGAATGCACAAAAATAGAGGCATAAAGAGTAAAAACCAATGAAATTGAAAACAGAAAAAAATCAATAAAATTAATAAACCTTCAGCAAGACTGACAAAGAACAAAAGTAGAGAAGACACAAATTACCACTATCAACAATGAAAGAGGTGATAGCACTAAAGACCCCAAAGATAATAAACAGATTGTAAGGGAATCCTAAAATTAATTATATGCCCCTAAAATTGACAACCTAGATGAAATCAATTCCTATCAAAACCTATCAGAATTTACTCAAGATAAAATAGATAATCTGATATCCCCAGATAGCTGATGGGTAGGTGAAAGCTACACTCACCTCCTCCGGGCCCCAAACCAGATGTACAGCTAAATTATAGAGCAATCAACCCGAATAACCAAAGAAGGCTGATAACTGAACTGAAATATTATAACCAAGGACTTACAGAAGCAGCCACATAGAGACTGATAAGAAGGGTGGACCTGGGAAGGGCTGGCCCCAAGTGTGGCAGCTGAGAAGCCGGAGGGGTATGGTAGATTCACAATTCCCTTTCCCCAGGGTTTCCCAACCCAGAGCAATACGGATGGGAGGAGGAGCCCGCATAGCATCTGGTGTTGAAAATCAGTGACGATTCAGTCCATCTAGGTCTCCTAGATGCCACCTTCCTAGGGATGAGAATTCCTATTGTTACAGCATCAGCCTGGGTGTGCCCTGCTAGGCCCCCAACTGCTGGTGACACATTCTTGGGTCCCATAGGGGTGTCTGCTGGCTGTACCCAGCAGTGACTTTTGGGGCCCTTTTTTCTGGGGAGGCTCTTGGCAGAGACTCAGACAACGACTAAATTGAGTGGCTTTGGAAAGAAGGCACAGATGGTGCTCTTCCCCCGACCTTTGAATCACATGGCCAGCCGAGTCCAGCCACACACCAGGACCAGAGTGCTGTGCAGTGCTGAGACTTTGAGTGTGTCTCCTGGGGAAGCTTTTGTCTAGGAACCAGATGGGCATTGCTACTTCACAGGGTGTGCGGGCACTAACTTCCCTGCAATCCCAGCCTGTGCTACCCCGGAAGGGGAAGAAGTGCCTGCCCCCTCCTACAGGCACCATCCCCTATAGACTGTTTGGATCAGCCCTGCCAGGCACCAAGACCCGAGCCCTCTGGGTTCAATTCTGCAAAGGGAAAGGAGAGCAGCTAAGAGCTGGGACCTTCAAAGTGTGGTCCCTTGAGGTTATTGTCTAGGATGGGGAACCCCTGTGAAAGGGTCGTTCGATCCCCAAAGGGGTAGCGACTCACAGGTTGAGAACCCCTGGCTTAGACCTATTTTGCTGGCTGGGCCAGCATTACCCCAATGGGAGGCTCTTTTGATCTGTCCCCCTGAGCCCGTTGGCACTGTCTGGCTGAGCTTGCTCCTGTAGTGGGTACAGCTGGATGCACCCAACCTAAACCTGCAGTGTGCTCCTCCCAGGGAAGCTAGACTTGGAGACACTGACTGAGACTGAGAAGTATGGCCCTGGCGTAGGGGCCACTTTCCCCTCCTTAAATGCCTGATTGCATGACCTCCCAAGTAGACCCACCAACCCTACCCACCCAACCTCGTTTGATCTACCCTACTGAGCTCATAACCTGTGGAAGGGTCTGTAGGTCATGGCCAGCCTGGGCCCACCCTACAGTCTTTCTTCAGAAGGCTCTGGAGGAAGACCAGGCAATCTCAGGGGAGGTAGAGTAGCTAGCTGACAGGTGGAGGCAGACCTCAGAGAGCCTCAGTCCTTCCACAGATCTGCCCCCAGCTCTAAGCTGGAGGAAGCTGATGCTTATACACAGATTGGCCCCTCCCACACACACCTTGGCCCAATACACACAGCCACAAACAGCATGGTAGCTCCAGTTAGCCCAAGGCCTATTACACACAATGTGTGACATCAACCTAACCTGAACCCCACTCAAGTGGACACAAAACTAACACAACCAGTGGTGGGATTCAGACCACACCAGAGCTCAACTCAACTAGTTGAACAAGTGGCACATCCAAAAGGGATTCCACACCCTGCTGAGAACTACACCTTGGGGGCAATATCTCATGCACTGTGATCGAGGTTTACCCTTATAGCAACTAGCATGAATGGTTAATTTCACCCACAAAAAAGACCAACAGCATTCAAGATGCAACTACAACAAACCCACAATATTCCTGGAGCACCAAGCTCCCATTATCTGGAAGATTGTGCCATGGAGTGCAACAAGACACCTACATCATATAGCCATTATAACAAGTTTGGAAGTCATAGCAGATTTACCTAATACAGAGACAAAATGGAGAGACAAAGAAATATGCCCCAAATGAAAGAACAAGAGAAATCTCCAGAAAAAGAATTAAATGGAATGGCAGTAACCAAAATATCAGATGCAGAGTTTTAAAAAATGGTTATAAGAATGACCAAGATCCTTAGAAGATTGATGACGTGAGAACTTAAAAAAAAGAGATAGTAAGCATGAAATAGGACATAGAAACCATAAAAAAGAACCTGTTCAAAATGAAGAATACAAGATTTGAAATAAAGACTACACAAAAGAATCAACAGCAGGTTAGATGAAGCAAAGGACTGAATCAGCTATTTTGAAGACAAGGTAACAGTACGTACCCAAGCATGAAATAGGACATAGAAACCATAAAAAAGAACCAGTTCAAAATGAAGAATACAATATCTGAAATAAAGACTACACAAGAAGGAATCAACAGCAGGTTAGATGAAGCAAAGGGCTGAATCAGCGATTTAGAAGACAAGATAACAGTATATACCTGAGCAAAGCATCAAAAGGAGAAAAGAATTTTAAAAAATGAGAAAGTCTAGGGGACCTCTCAGACAGCAAGCATACAACATCCGCATCATAGGTATACCAGAAAAAGAAGAAAGTGAGCAAGGGATCAAACTGAATAATGGCTGCAAACTTTCCTAATCTGTTGAGGGAAGAAGTCACAAAAGTTCAGAAAACAGAGTCCCAAACAAGATGATCCTAAAGAGGCACACACTAAGACACACCATAATTAAAATGTCAAAGATTATAAGACAAAGAGAGATTCCTGAAAGCAGCAAGAGAAAACAACTAGTTACCTACAAAGGAGCTCCCATAAGGCTGTCAGCTGATTTCTCAACAGAAGGGATTGGCATGAAATATTTAGTGATAAAAAGCAATGACCTACAACAAAGACTACTCTATCCAGTAAAACTATGATTTAAAATTGAAGGTGACATAAGAGCTCCACCCCTTTTCCCCACTCTACCGCAAAAAAAGCTAAAGGAGTTCATTACCAGTATTGAAAGAAATGTTAAAGGGCCTGCTTTAAGAAGAAATAGAGAGAAACATAGGTATAAAGAATAAAATGGCAATAAGTACCTTTCAATAATAACCTTAATTATAAATAGATCAAATGCTCCAATCAAAAGCCATAGGGTAGCTGAATGGATAAGAAAGCAAGACCCATATATACTGTCTACAAGAGACCCACCTCAGAATGAAAGATACACAGACTGAAAGTGAAGGGATGGGGAAAAAAATATTACATGCAAATAGAAACGGAAAAAAAAAATAGCTGGGGTAGCAATGCTTGTATCTGACAAAACAGACTTCAAAACAAAGGTCATAACAAGAGGCAAAGATCACTACATAATAGTAATGGGATTGATCCAACAAGATATAACCCTTGCAAACAAACATATGTGCACCCAACATAGGAGCACCTAAATGCAGAAAGAAAATTCTGTTGCAAATTAAGGAAAAGATTAACAGTAATATAGTCATGGTAGGAGATTTTAACACCCCACTGTAATCAAAGCATAGAACTTCCACACAAAAAAACCAACACAGCAACAGCAACCTTAAATGGCACTCTGAATTGGACGGATTTAACTGATACTCACAGAACATTTCATCCCAAAGCAGAATATACATTACTCTCAAGTGCACATGGGACATTCTCAAAGATAGACCACATGTTAGGATACGAAATAAGTCTTAAATTCAAGAATACTGAAATCATATCAAGCATCTTCACTGACCACAAGGTATAAAAATAGAATTCAACTACAGATGACTGAGGTCCTCAGAGTTTTTGTGTGGGTTGTAGCTATCAATTTTTACTACATAAGAAATTAGAGCTAAGAAAAATTTAATAATTTGTCTTAAAAGAAAAAATAGTTTATTATACGATAACAAACAGCATATTCTTGTGAAAAATATTTTCGAAAAATTAGAGCTAAGAAAAATTTAATAATTTGTCTTAAAAGAACAAAAAATAGTTTATTATACGATAACATAAACAGCATATTCTTGTGAAAAATATTTTCGAAAGCAAAACCATTTGTAGGAAAGTAACAGTTTTACATTTTTGCAAGTCTCTAAGTCTGGCTTCACAGAAGCTGTTGGATTCTCCCATCTGTAGCTGGGTTGTTGCACTATTGCACGTCGTGTGGCCTGCAGGAAACTCAGCTGTGCTGTACCCCTCATCCTTCTCCGTAACTTTACTTTAAAGCTGAGGTTTGAAGTTAATATCCCCCCTTCTGGATGACGCATGAAGGTGATAAAGTACCCACAATCATCAGGCATCCATCCCTAATGAAAACATTAAGCCAAAACTAAATTCTAATCATTTTTTATGTACAAAAAATTTAAGAGAAATGTGAGAGAATCTACAAAACCACAGATTATATTGCTTTATTATTTTTTAAATATATTTTTATTGATCTCAGAGAGGAAGGGTGAGGAAGAGATAGAAACATCAATGATGAGAATCACTGATTGGCTGCCTCCTGCATGCCCCTTACTGGGGATCGAGCCCGCAACCTGGGCATGTGCCCTGACCAGAAATTGAACCCTGACCTCCTGGTTCACAGGCTGATGCTCCACTGAGCCACAGTGGCTGGGCACAAATTATACTGCTTTAAATCTTGACATAACCCAGATGTTGAGAACAAACAGGTATCCTATCAGCAGATTTCCATTTCTCTTCTCAAAGGCACAGTATGGGAGATGAATCCAGCGGAGATCTTTCTTGGCTCTAGTGCCCCTACCTGTCACTGACAAGGGCTACAATACTTGAAACCACCCATCCCTGCAGACCCAATGACAGTCTGGAGCTCATTTCAACTGCTCCGTAGGCCCCTTCAGGCTGGACTTCTGATTTCTTTTTTCTTTTTGACCCTGAATTCGAAAGAGCTTCTTCCTGAGATCCTTCTGCCGCTTCAGTTTCTCTTCTTCCTCCTTCTGCTTTGCTTTGAAGTGCTCTTTATTGTGCAGGTGCCGCTGCTCCTTGGCCTTCCTCATCTTCTGACGGTGCACTGTACTCAGAGCATCCAGCAGCGCAAGGACCTGACAAGGACAAAACCCAGTGAGCATCAGAATATCCTGACACTTACTGCGGGCCTGCCTTCTAAGGGCCACGGTATCAAAACTGACTGTACAAAAACTAGGATCCATTCATGATACAAATGGATGTTAACCTAGTGAAATTTATCCTGAATTAGGAAATTATAATTTGCATGAAGCTATATGTAGGAGTCTATTTACTTAGCAAAATACTTTAATGACCTTCACCACAAAACTACCTTTGTTAGTCACTCTTGGATACTATGTACAACCAATTAGCACAGAGTGATTCGCCAGCTGTGTGCCAATTCTTCCCATCAAAATGCATGAGACAGAGCACAGCTGAACAGAGGAAGGGAAATGGACTCTAGTTTTCCTCTAGCTTCCAGTTCTTAGGGCCTTGAATTACTCTGGCCCTTATCCTTTCTGATGAAAAATGAGAACACAGTGGATATGCCAAGTGTGCTACTGAAAGCATTATTTTCACATCTAAATGCAATGTGCAGTAAGCCATTTGTTGACAGTACCTTTCTTTCGTGAGGCTCCCGTATGACAGCTGGTCTCTGCCTGTCCTTTGGTATCTTGCCTGCCTTTGCTTGGGTCTTAGGCTTGTTCTTAAAGGGCAGGGCCTTCTGTAAGGCTTTCGGAATGTGTAGTGAATTAAAATGTTTCTTTTGCCTCACAATCAGCTGAAAGACAAACAAACAAAAAAAACAAAAACAAAGACTGATATAAATTATGACCTAAATGCATTTAAAACTTGCATAAAATCTTCTCAATGGATTGTTGACTTTTCCCACAAGATTAGTAACACCAGAATCTGCTGACAATCAGAAATAATGATTCAATCATACATCAAACATGGACTGCCTCAAAAGACATGCATAACTCTAGGCGAAACAGAGAAATATATAGAATATTTGCAATTCTTCCCAAGAATTCAAATGTGCCTATTTCTATAATATGGACTATGGGAGTCTTTACAGAGCAGATAAAAATATCCAAAGTCTCTTTCAATGGAAAAGTCCGGCCTTATCTCTGGAGCACTGAGGTGGTTTTTCTAGCCGAACAAGAATAATCTCGCTGTTCATCTTTACTATCAGCCTCTCTGGACTTACGGACATAGTTCTTCTTCAGAAAATAATCTCGCTGTTCATCTTTACTATCAGCCTCTCTGAACTTACGGACATAGTTCTTCTTCAGAACCAGTCTCCTCACCCGATTCTCACTGAGAAGTTTAACTTTGTTCTGTTTCTAATGGAAGGCCAGCTGAGAAAACTGAGATTTAAACAACAAATGAATGCAGTGTAAGCTCTACTTTCCATTCAGTACTCTTCATAAATAAACCACTGTGGCCTGAGAAATATTATTACTAATAGTAATAACAACTAACAATTACTGAGCACTTATTTTATGCCAGGCATTGTTAGTGCTTTACTTGTTATTTCATTTAATCCTCTTAACTTTATTTACTAGTATTCCCATTTTCCAGATGAGAACACTGAAGCTCAGAGAATTTAGGTAACTTGCTTTAAGGTAACACACCAGAATTTGCCTTTAGCCATTACATAATTCACTGTCCTAATTTACAATAGGTCATACAGCTACAGCTTCTGGTTCAGAGGGGCTTATAATACTTTTAAAACTTCTGTACTGCCCTGGCCAGGTAGCTCAGTTGGTTAGTGTTGTCTCAATACATCAAGGTCACAGGTTCAATCCCTGGTCAAGGCATATGCCTGGTTGCAGGCTTGATCCCCAGTTGGGGATGTATAGGAGGCAGCCAATCAATGATTCTTTCTCATCACTGATGTTTCTCCTTCTCCCTCTTTCTCTTTGAACTCAATAAAAACGTATTTAAAAACTTTTTAAAAACAAAGAAGAAGTAATGCCCGGGGACCTTCTGTCTTAGGCAGAGATCAGACTGATACCCTGCTCTACCATCTTATTATATAACAATTAAATATCCTGCATTAAAACAACTCTTTTCAAATGTAATGTTAACCTGCAAAGAAAAAAATGGAAGTTTTGAGACCAAAATCTAAATGAAAATGGGAATCCAGACAGGTACTAAGAACTTAAAATAAAAAAGTACTGATGAAGCCAGACTGGCAAGGATATGGACCAACCAGAACTCTGGTAGCTGTTAGTGGGAGCCTCACTGGGTATGACTCCAAAATACTACAGGCATCATACGCTGAAGCAGATCACATGCTGCTCTGTAATCTGGCAACCCCACCCGTGGGGACCTATGCAACAAAAATGGGTGCTCGTGCACACCAAACGAGTCATACATATGTACTCAGAACAGCATTTATAATGGCCAAATATTGCAATTAAATTCCATCAGTAGATAAACTGACATCATCATATAACAGAATTCTACTAGACAATAACGACAAATGAATGTCTGCTACATACAAGAACATGGGTGAATTTCATAATACTGCTGAAAGAAGCCAGGCAAAATATATGCTCTATTTTATAAAACTCAAAAACAGGCAGACCTAATTTACATGTCAGGAGTCAGAATCAGACAGTGAGTGTCTTTGAGGTGGAGGAGGAGTGACTGGGAGAGGTCACGGGGGGGCTTCTGTTGTGCTGGTAATTTACTGCTTCATCCAGGTGATGGCAAGCTGAGTGTGTTAAAATCATTGAGGTATACACTTCTGATTTGTATACTTTTTTGTATGTATGTTAACATTTCAATAAAAACTTTCCCCTAAACCCACATTGCTTCAATAAGAATTAGCATATTATTTTTAAAAGTAGTAAGTGTACGTGGTGGAAAAAAACAGTCCAAAATATACAATGAAAAGTTTAAGTCTATTTTCAAAATCACAGAAACAATTATTACTGCTCTGCAATGTTTCTTCTAAAATAGTCTATAAACATACAACATGTTCATTCAAATTTAATGTTAGACTCTCTACTTGAAAATTCAAAGCACAGGAAATGTTACATACAAAGCATCTGGACGACCCATCTAGAGAGCACATGCGTGACTGTACCTTATACAGAGAATCCTTGTTGGGCTTCAGTTTGACACGATTAGCGAGCCGGAGTTGACCAGTTGTCCGCATTCCTGACCAGGTATCTTTCTCACCAACTGGTTTCAACAAAGATGTTACTGGGTTATAGAAGGCTGGAATGGAGACAGGATACCAAGTTCTCATGAAGACAATATCTGGAAAGAGAGGAAATTTACTTTAACATTTTCAGAAGAAGGTTCATATCCATATGTCAAACAAAGAACAAAACATTCACCCCAAACTTCTCAAGCTGGTTGCACAGAATTTGAAGACAGATTTTACCAAGTGAACTATGTACTCTTGAATATCACAAAACTTTTACTGGGTGTGAACCACATGGCCCCAGATACAGCGTGACCTGGCACACTGCAATGATGCTCCAACCGGAAGAGCTGGAGCTGACCCCAGCTTTCTAAAGACCTGAACTGCAACTTCTAACCCACACTAGACGGAAATCAATAGAAAGGTATTTACCACTCATCAGCAACTTGTCCTCAAAGGTGGCCCGGAAAGCACCTTCGGGAGCTCGGAGAGCTTTCTTGATCTGTCCCCTTATTCCACTGACAGTGCGGATCACAGCACCTTCAAATTTGGCCACTTCTAAGGCAGAATTAAACATTCCCTACAGGTATATATATATATATGTAAAAAAATACACAAACACAAAATCAGATACTTTACTTCTTAGCTCATAACTACATCCTTGGTCATAAAACAGAACTCACTGAAGGGTGATAAAGGTAATAATCAAACTATTTCCCCCTTAAGTGGAATTACTAGATTAAAAAGAATACAACTCTATTTTATTTTCCCCAAAATAACATTAAGATACAAATGTTATCTACTGTGGGCTCATTATCATGCTCATCACTGATATCGAATAGAAGATACCTGTTAGTCTGAACTAACCTGGATAGCCTCTGTTGTCCAGCTCATTTCCTATTACTTAGGTGCACACACTCAGAAAACAAAGAGCTAGATAAATGCTATATTGTAAGAACATCTTATAATCATCTTAACTCTGTGTTAGTGGGAATACCCACCAATGAAAGTTTCAATAAACGTCAAACCACCCTCCGATGTTATACCACGTAAGTGTCCATCTCTCTATACCCTTGCCCACAAGTATGTTGAGAATGGCTTTGTCTATTTTTCTACTAATCTGTCTGATAAATCTATGATTTTTCTCTTCTCTTAACACAAACCAAAAAGGCAGGAAAACAAAGCCCAATGAAAGATTACACATATTAGCTCTATGACAGTCTCACTGGAAGTAATAGTCTCAATTACTATCTCTATTTTACTTCACCTTAAGATTGCTGAGCATATTTAAGTAACACAGAAACCAACAGAAAAAAGTACTAGTAAACTGAAAATACCTAAGACCAAGTTTATTTAAATTCCTTTTCTGAAAACATTAGACCTACATTTTAGAAGTATTTCACTGCTCCTTTAATACAAGGGGGAGGCAAAAATAGATTCACAGTTATAATCCTATCTAATAAAAGACAAAGATGCTAATTGACCGTACCTTTGCCACACCCATCAGCCAATCAGAGCGATATGCAAATTAACTGCCAATAAAGATGGCGGCTAATTTGCATACTGCAGGTAGGGTGGGCCAGTGCGAGCCACCATCCGGGCTCCCATGTGCGGCCCTGGGCGGCGAGGCTAGTGGCGCAATCGGCCCGAGGAAGCCCTATTCTTGCAGGAATCTTCCTGCAATGGGCCTCTAGTATAAATAAATACAAGAATAAACTGTATACTCACAACTGTAAACCTACTTTTGCCCATCCCTATAATACACATTTATAAATATGTAAATATACAGACCTTAATGAATGAAGTATTCTTGAAAATTTTATATGGAAAGCCAGTTAGCTTTAATTTCTTCACAATTTTTATGGATTTATCCAAATCAAGAACAATTCCTGTGGCAGCTATCCGGAAATCAGGCTAAAAAGGAAACCCCCAAAATTTGAATACAGGAATAATATCAGCAAGAGAACAACTACAATTCTGTGATACAATAAATTAGCAAAGTGCACTTCACTTACAATTAGCTAAGAAAAAAGAATACCTGAACATGCAAAACAGTATTTTAACAAAAGCAATCTGAAACTATAATGAACATAAGCCAAACTAATGTTGATGTCTTCAGTATTTTTCTGAATGAGGGTGATCTCACAGTAACATAGTTTCACAACAATGACTTATCTGAGATAAAAAGGAACATGAAAGTTTGCTTATATTGTTTAAGAAATTAAATTTCAGACCTCCAGGGTGGGTTCCATCTGTTCACTACAGTGGGGCCTTGACTTTTTCGTTCCGAGACCGAGCTCGTTAAGGAGCTCGTTAACTCAAATTACTCTGTCAACTCAATGCAAAAAATCTGCCGAGACAGCTGGTATCTCAAAAAACTCGTTAGTCAGGACACTCGTAAGTCAAGGCCCCACTGTATTCTGTTTTCTTTTCTGATAAATGGGGCCAATAAAACCCACTCTGATTGATCACATGAAGACGGTGTGAACATATTTTGCTAACCCAACATTACAGGGTGTAGCCTTATGTCTAGCTAGTATCTGACACACCCCCAAAATCTAGTATAGTATTAGTATAGTATAGTACTTAGCACATGGTGAATACTGCTTACATATTTTTAGAAAAACACATCCAAAAAGTACATAAAAATATAAAATGTCCTTAGTACCATTACAATTCTTCTACCTCCCTCTTCTTTACTCCCACAATCTACTTAAAAAGATGCAGGAAAATTAAAAGCAAAGTAATTTACTATACACACTAAAAATGAGCAATTTTCACTTAAAGTATCATGTACATATTCCATATTTAAGATATATCTCAAACACAACATATAAAATAAAACATCCGGGATATTTACTGTTGTGCCATCGACAAACTGTACTGCCAAGAATCCAGTTCCTTGTGGAGTAATAGGACCTTGAATAAAACAGGAAAAAATATATAGTGAACCACAAAGTTTAGTATCTATTTTACATGCATATATACTCCAATCCAAAAAAAAAAGAGAGAACTGGGATTTCATAAAATGGAAACTATAATGATAAACCTTAAATGTTTAAATTAACCTAAAGGCAAATTATTCTAATCACATTTTACCCCAAAAGGCTGCTCCACAATGCATGTGCTGAGGGGTGTATTTTAGAAGCCTTTGTCTTCCATTGTGGTCTTCGATATAATACAGTGGGATGGTCTGAAACCTCCTCCACCCTACAGAAAAAATGATTGGATCTCGGGACTTGAGAATTTTCTTATACCAACGATGTTTCTTCAGACGCATCTGAGGGGAGAAGAGATTTCAATAAGATTATTCAGTGAAAGTATGTCCAAAAAAACCTCAATGATCATATCACACAGCAAAGGGTACCTACCTGTACATATCCAACACTGCCCTCACTATTGCCCAAACCACCCAAAATAATTGGGTAATGGGGGTCAAAGTTAAGCACGAATTCACAGGGGACATTCTCTATCTCAATTCGGACATACATCCCAGGTCGAAAACCCTCATATTGAACTCTGGCTTCATCATCTTGGTCTTCAAATTCTGCTCGGTTAAGCTATATAAGAGAGGGGGGGAAACACAATAAGAAACCCACAATACTGTCATCTTTAATGAACGTAAGATTAATATATAAAAAAATGAGCTATTTCAAAATAAACAATCTATAAGCAGAATTATTTAGGCTTTATCCTAATTAAAAATATTATATAGTCTATCTTCACAGTTTGTTCAGGATATGTCCCAATAATTTTCTTCTCTGCTGTTCCAATATACAGCAAACGTCAGCAACACAGAAAGGAGCCGTAATGGTGATTAGCAAACACCCTCAACTTCCCCAGTACACACTTTCTTTTTTTACTCTCCAAATAATTATTTCACACTTTTTCTCCTTTCTTCAATCACCCAATATCCAAGCTCTCATCCTCATTCTTAGCTGCTGTTTCCTAATTCACTCAAAAGTTAAGCATCTACAAGAACTTCAACACTCAACCTCTCTACCAGGATTACACCCATGTCTAGCCTTTCATTATAGCTCTACACTGTTCAATATGGTAGCCACAGATGGCTTTTCAAATTGAAATTATTAAAATTAAATAAAAATTTTAAAATTCAGTTCCTTGGTCACATTTCAAGTGGTATCAACATGTGGCTAGTGGCTACAATACAGTACAGCACAGAGTTCTACTGAGTGGTTGTTATAGATTATACTAGAGGCCCAGTGCACGAAATTCATGAATGAGTGGGGTCCCTAGGCCTGGCTAGTGATCAGGGCCGATCAGGTCCCCCACCTCCCCCCTCCTCCTTCCCTTGCCACCCGCATCTGTCTATTCAATTTCACTTATACACTAGGTATCATCCACTCCTGGACTTCATTCCAATATATCTTACCTATTATTTTTCTCATCTTAAAACTTCCTTTTAACTCCACTTCCTTCAACTAGAATCCCATTTTTCTGAAGAAAATTGCCACAGAAGTTTTCTATAGTTGCAGTCTCCATTTCCTCTTCTCCCATTCTCTTAAATTCCTTAAAACTGGACTTTAACCCACACTTGATAAAAATGTTTGCAGTCACATAAAGGCCTCAACATTCCTAATCTAGTGGTCAATTTTGTCTTAATTATAGTTAACACATCAGCAAGATTTGAAATAATGTCTCATTTCCTTCTATAGTAGCTTCCAGCATACCTGGTGTTCTAGAATTCTTAGGTCTCCTGAGCACTGCTCCATCCCCACTGCTGCTTCTTGTCTGCCAGCCTTGCAATGGGGCACCCAGTGTCAGTACTGGACCTCTCCTCTTATCTCTACACTCACTCCCTTGTCGTCCCATCCATCTCATGGCTTTAAGCAGCATCTAGCTCTGAGACCCTGGCTCCAACCCCTCCCAGCTTGACACTCTACTTGTCTGAAAAATAACCCCAACCTAACAGACCTAAACTTCATCTTCCCAGACAAACCTATACCAACTAAAGCTTTTCAATCTTACTTATGAAAACTCAGTTCTTCCAGGAAGTCATCCTTATTTTCTCTCTCACACCCCCCACATTTAGGAAATCGTATGGGTCTACTTTTCAAGCAAAGTATACCCAGAATTTGATTTTCTTTCACCTCCACTACCACATACCTCCCCATCCCCCAGTGTGTGTTACTTAATCTTACCAAACTCTTGCCAGAGCAACCCTCTCAAGGTAATTAGATCACATACATCTATCCTCTGCTCAAATGGGCCCCATTCCACTGAGTAAGCCCATCAAGACCTTTACAATGGCCCATGAGGTTCTAGATGAATTAAATCGTAAATGCCTGAAGCAGACTTCAGAACTAACTTTACATTTCTTAGTCACGGTCTGTATAAAGTCAGTACAGACCTGAGACACTATGTTAATGACTAACCAGCGGATCCTTCTTTGACTAGATGAAGGTCTAGGTTGATCACATTTTCACAAATGATATACTTAACTTGCAGAAGGCATAGTGTGTTCCAGTTTACAGAGACTCCTGTGCCCACTCCCCATCAACTGTGCACACAACTTTGTGTCTTTCAGAGTGAGGTCAGCATCCCCAGGCAGGAGGGCTAGACTAGCTCCCTTTCAGCATTCCACATGCCCTTTTTATCTCCCCTTAACTCAAAATACTCCTGAACTCTGATCAAGGTGAGTTTCAGACAACCCTTCCTGAAGACAATGGTGTGTGCATCAGCCACACAGGCCAAGAATCACCCACCCATTCAAATGATTTCATTATGGTTCTAGGGAGCAGTAATATGAATGCTAAGGCAACGCTGGCATTTAAATAAACTCACTGCCTCAAATAACTACACAGTGAGATCCTCAAAAGTGGTGGCAGTGTCTCAGCCATTTATGTTTCCTCACACTTAATTCTTGGTATAAAACAGGAACTGGTATCTTCTGATTTCTTGCAGAAACAGAGGACTGCATGAATAAACACGAATGAACACACTCATCTTCACCTCGACCTTGGAGTCCAAACGAGAGGCACAGAAGTAGATCAGGGAGCAGAGAGCTAAAGAAGTTAAGGATTCACAACACTGTATTACAGCCTTGAAATGAGGCTGATGGGATCTGAGTTTTCTTACCTGTGCTTGTTTATGCATTTCCCCTTTAAGATCATCAAAGTACGTGCTTTCTCCTTCATCATACTCTGCATCAAACATCTCCTTCAATTTTCTCTTCTTATCCAAATGCTTTTTCTTGGCACTTTCCTCTGCAGAGGAGTCAATTTCTTCCTTTACTTCTTCCTCTACATCTTCAGTCTTAAATTTCCAGAAGAGAAAATTTTGTAAAGTTTGTGGAGATATTTTCTTTAGCTTTAAAGCAGACTTAAAAAGTTCTACTGAGCTGCAAAAATCTAAGTTATTATCATCATGAAACAAAACAAAACACAGCCTTGAGCTTTAAATAACATGTATTGCTACAAGAGACTTTTAGACATCTGCATTACAATGAACTGCAATTCCTTAGTCTGTCTGGGAATGCCAAATGTGAATAAAATAGCGGCAAGTGTCCCCACCCAGATACTGTTCTAAAAAATCTTAGGGATAACAGAGAATTGGTTTTTCTAAATGGCTTTTTTTTTTTTTTTGCTTAGATATAAATATTTTCTTCTTTTTCCCCTCTTTCTATTAAATTTATTGGGGTGACATTGGCTAATGAAATTATGTAAGTTCCAGGTGTACATTTCTATAATACAAATTCTGTATATTTAATTATTTGTTCACCATCCCAAGTCAACTCTCCATCACCATTTATCTCCCCTATACCTTCTTCTACCTACCCCCGACCTGCTCAACGTCCGCCCTCCCCTCCCCGCCCCCCCACACACACCCTTCCATCTGGTAAATACCATATTATTGTCTGTGTCTATGAGGTTTGATTATTTTTTTTGCTTAATCCCTTCACCTTTTTCACCCAGCCCCTGAATCCCCTCCCCTCTGACAATTCTCTACCTATGAGTCTATTCTATTTTGTTTGTAGTTTATTTTGTTCATTAGATTTCACATATGATTTGAGAACAGGAGAATGATGGCAAAAATAATGGTGGAGAGGAAGACAGTGACCCAAGAGCTAAAATTTTCAATGACTGAAGAATCATAACAGCAAGAGGTAATAAGTGTCACTCCAAAAATCAAGAATAACAAGTAGCCCAGACACTGTGCGGCTCAGTGGTTGGGCGTCAACCCATGAACCAGGTCAAGGTTCAATTCCCGGTCATGGCATATATCCGGGTTGCAGGCTTGATCCCCAGGAGGGGGCACGCAGGAGGCAGCTGGTTTTTCATTCTCTCGTATCATTGATGTTTCTTTTATGTTGTTGTTGTTAATCCTTACCAGAGGGTATTTTTTCCATTGATTTTTAGAGATTGGAAGGGAGGAGGGGGAGACACAGAGAGAGAAACATCGATGTGAGAAAGACACATTGATTGGTTGCCTCCTGCAGGCAACCCGATCTGGGCTGGGGATCTAGCCTACAACCAAGCTAGGTGCCCTTGACCAGAATCAAACCCAGGACCCTTCAGTCCAAGGGCCAATGCTCTATCCATTGGGCCAAATCAGTTAAGGCTCATCACTGATGTTTCTATCTCTTTCTCCCTCTCCCTTCTTTTCTCTGAAAATCAATAAAGACATTTTATATACATAGAAAGAAAGAATAACAAGTAAATCAATAACCTTTGATCTGTCCCCACCCTCCATATTTTCAGGAAGGAATCCATCCAGTCTCTAATCTACATAGACAACAAGATTAGAATGTCTCAAAATAGGCCTATCTCAGAATACACTGACCACAGTTATAGGACCAGTGGCTGACAGCCACCTGGCAAAGTCATACCTGAGTATCCAGGCTTGATTTTCCCTTGTGCACGTCCCCTGTTTCCAAGTCTTCAAAGTCACCATAGAGCTCCTCTGGGAAAAGAACATCCAAATGACTTATCTCTGAATAGGGTACATATGACACTCTAGTACTACCAGCTCCAGGTAGACAGTGTGTTCTGCATCCCAAACTTCATTGTTACTACTCCTACACTACGCACCCCAGAAGAAGGCAGGACTGTTAAACCATATTACATAACCTGTTCAGTTTAAGTAAACAAGCCCAATCCACATTTCCATACTTTCTTCAATATCCCACACAACCGAGAGCTATTTTTCTAGTATAGGTAACTGACACTATAGCAGAGATGCACACAGAGGTGGCATGAGTGGCCCTGCAGATGAGACCCCCAAAACCAGAAATGTCAAGAGTGACTTGAAAAGCCATGGCTTAGATAACAAGCACATGTGAAAAAGAGTCTCACCAGTAAGCTCAACACAACGGTGACATACCAAGGGAAAAATCTTAGATTATAAGAGTAGTACCTAAAACAGTGCTGAGCCCACATGAAGAGCCCATTAATTCATTCAGTTGTTTTTGAAGCTCTAAGTTTAGTTATGAATATTACCCTTAAAAGAAACAGACAAGTTAAAAGTCCTCTGGGAGGCAACTTCAGAAAGATATTAAAACATTTTCATATAAGAAAGAGTCAAAGAACCAAAGAGCCAAAGGAAATAAAAGATGGGAAGATTCTATTGTAATAAAAACAAAAAATAGGATATTTAGAAATAAACTAAAAAATGTACAAGACCTTTAATTAAATATTATAAAGGCTTCACTATGCTACCAAAGGGCACATGGACTAATGTTAGCTAACACTTTCAAGTGTTTTACATTCCAGGCACTGCTCTGAGTACTTCACATGACTTAACTACATTTTTCAACTTGACCCAGTGAAGAAGGCATTATTAATATTATCTACTGAACAAACAAAGGGTACCATGTTTTTGGAAAGGAAGACTCAATATCATTAAGACGCCAATTCTCCCTTAACACAATTACAATACAAATAGCCACCAAGAATTTCTAGTCTGGAAAAGATTGAGTATACATGTTTCCTTTGTTCCTCTCAGCTATCTATAAAAATAAAAGCATAATATGCTAATTAGACAAGACGTCCTTCTGGACGAAGCTGGGGCTGGAAGGGAAGCCTGGGTCCCAGGTGCCAGAGGGAAGGGGTGCCAGCATCCGGAGGAAGGAAGGCCTACTCTTGCACGAGTACATTTTTTACACACACAAAAATCTATTTTTAACATGATAAATACATGATAAAATTTATGGAAAGTTTCCCACTTTTCTTCAAGGTCTTTATCTAATTAGTCAGTTAACCAGGGAGAGAAAATATGGTCACCATGGAAGGAAGAACCAGAGTATTACCCATAACTCTGTCAGTGTTCCCCAAAGCATTTCACAATTGACTATTTTCAACCACTAAAATATGGAGGAACTTTAAAGAAGGTAAACTTTGTTGAAGAATATAGTCTTTGCCTGGCCAGCATGGTTCACTGGTTGAGAGTTGACCTATAAACCAGGAGGTTACGGTTCAATTCCCAGTCAGGGCATATGCCTGGGTTACAGGCTCAATTCCCAATCAATGATTCTCTTATCATTAATGTTTCTCTCTCTCTTTCTCTGAAATCAATAAAAAAATTTTTTTAATAAATAAAAATTTTAAAAAGCTTGAAAAAGAAAGGACACATCCCTTTACTTACCATCTTCTGCTAAGATCTTGGCTGCATCTTTATCCTCTTCCCACTTCCCAGTCACGAAGCAGTCTCTGATACTGTTCATAACCTTACACAGAAACATCAGCACTTAATTAGATAGGTAAAGTCCTATTAGCCACTGACCTCGTAAGTAAACAGACATTTACTAATTCAACAGATTTTCAAAGTTTATTAGTGTTCTTAAGGCAATGTGGTTAAACAGCATTTTTAACTTACTATTTGCTACTCCAGACTTATTGTGGCTGTTTGGCTTTCAAGTGAATCATATTTTTGGTTATGAATCATGTTTTTCATACACAACCTAATTCTCAAAAAGTAGCCTTGAGGCTAGCATGATTATAATGCATGCAAAAGCAAGTCTGTTCATTTATTCATTCCTTCATGCCTACACTCACTCACTAAACATTTACTGAACATATCTATCTTATGCCAAGAAGTTTTATAGGCAAGCTGTTCCCAGATGATCCTTATTTCATTAAGCTTAATCATTGGCTTAGGGGAACCAAAGACCAAACAAATTTTTAAAAAAATTAGAACCTCCATGAAAAGCACACAACTGACTAGGAATAGAAGGAAACTTCCTCAACACGGTGAAGGACATTCATTAAAAACTCACCACTAGCATATTTAATGATGAAAGACTGAGAGCTTTCCCCCTAAGATCAGGAATAGGAAAGTCTATCTGCTCTCACTTCTACTCAACACTGTACTAGATGTTCTAGCCACGGCAATTAGGCAATAAATTGACATAAAAGGCATCCAGTTTAGAAAGGAAAACTGTCTCTATTAACAGGTGATATAATCTGGTTTACAAAAAATCCTAAGGAATCCACTGAAAAACCAGCAGAACTAATCAATCAATGAGGTTAGCAAGGTTGTAAAATACTAGATTAATATAGAATAATAAATTTTATTTCTCTATATTAGGAATAACAAATCCAAAAATGAAAATGAGAAAACAGTTCCTTTTTATAATAGTATCAAAAAGAATAAGATGCTACGTATACATTCAACAAAAGTGCAAAGCTTATACTCTGATAACTACAAAACATTCTTGAAAGACATATAAAATCCAAATAAATGCAAAGGCATCCCATGTTAATGATCAGAAAACTTAATATTGCTAAGATAGCAATACTTTCTAAAGTATAGATTCAGTGCAATCCCTGTCAGAATCCCAGCTGGTTCTTTGTAGAAATGGAAAAACTGATCTTAAAATACAGAAAACCCGAGATCCAGATTAGATTAAACAACTTAAAAAGAAAACAAAGCTGGAAGATTCACACTTCTCAATTTCAAAACTTACTATGAAAGGACGGCAATCAAAACAAGATTGTGCTGGCACAAGGAATGACATAGAACAATGGAATACAATTAAGAGTCCATAAATAAGCCCACATATCTATGGTCAAGTGATTTTTTTTTGCCCAGGGTGCCAAGACAAGGTAAAGGGAAAGAAAGAGTCTTTTCAACAAATAGCGTTAGGACAACTGATTTCCATATGCAAAAGAATAAGTCATATTCATCTCATACCAAGTACAAAGATTAAGTAAAATTAAAAATTAAAAATTTAGTTCTTCTGTCTCACTAGACATATAAAGTGCTCAACAGCCACAAGTAGCCACATTGGACAGTTCATATATAAGTTATTTCCATCATCACAGAGTTCTATCGCTATTTCTCTGTACCACTCTATTAGAAACACAGAGGACAGAGGAGCCTGATAAACTGCCCATAGGGTTACAATGGAATTCATAAAGTCCATAATATGAGAAACTACACACCTAATACTTGGTTTCTTAAACAAATTAAATGGAAGGGGAGGGGAAGATGGGCAGAGAAAAGGATCATATATTTAAAGTTTTAAAAAGCACAGTGAGCAGGCTAGAAGGGGTCAATGGGGGGGAAAAAAGGGACATATGTAATATTTTCAATAATAAAGATTTTTTTTAAAAAGGCACAGTGAAAAACAACCCCCCCAAAAAACCGCATATGTAATATTTTCAATAATAAAGATTTTTTTAAAAAGGCACAGTGAAAAACAACCCCCCGAAAAAACCAGGTAAAAGTAAACTATGGTGTTTATGATACAAACTTGAAGGATGAAATGATGAAGGAGATGATTACCACAGAGTCATGTTCCTTCTGCAGGGAAGGGAAGGACCATGACTAGGATGGGCACACGGTGGTCACAAGGATCCTCACCTAGTAATCCATTCATTAAGTTAACAACTATTTTATGTGGTCTTCTAAAATCTGTATTAAATTTTACCATAAAAAATGGTTAATACACCTCATAAAGTACATAAATGCTATTCAGTAAATTAAAATAGCTAATGTGATAATGACTGGAGCTCTCTGAGGAGTGACATTTTATGATCAAAAGAAGTCAGCTTGGGAAGATCAGAAGAACATTCCAGAAGAGAAAACAGAGGGCAGTAAGCCTAGCAAGTCTGAGAACTGAATGAATTCCAGTGTAATCAGAGAGTGGTGAACAAGAAAGAAAATTTACCACTAGCGTAATAGATTTACTTGTTTATAAACAGCAGAAATTACAATTGCGAAATGAGGGACACTAGATTCATTCAAATTATAAAACGAAATATTTTAAATGTATAAAATTTATGTGCAATGCTTCAAATACTATCCATACTAAAAGCTGAACATTTTCCTTTTCTCCATAACACAGGCACATAGTCCGACTAAACTTAGAACATTTCATTGTTTAGGATGTATGAAATATACACGCCAACATCTGGGACAATATCCTGTTATTTTATAAAATAACAGGTAGGAAACATTAAAATCACATGATCTTTTAGAACAATTTTCTCATATATCAAACATACTATTCATATTCAGTCTTACCTCCTCTAAATCCCAATCATGGGGCACCTCCAAGTGAAATCTGGAGCAGTCCAAAGAGTCAGCCTTGTACTTACACTCTCTGGCAGGCTGGCTGACACGAAACAACCCTCCAAGCTCCTCCCTGGCATCATCATCTTCTTCATTATCCTCTGTCACTAAAGAGACCACCAAGATGGAAAAGGGAGAACAAATCAACACCCTAGAGGCCTTGGGACTGAGGGTCCCTGTTTGTGGTAGGAATGGTGGTGTCCCTGAGCACATGAGTCAGGGAAAAGCCAGGGAGCTGCTGCTATCTTCCTGCAAGGCAGCAGCAGGGAGTCCATTGAGGAGGGAGAATAACACCTGTTGGGGCAGGGAAGGGATTTACAGGCAGAACTTTCAGTTATCATAGTTTCTCTGGAAGAATGCTGAGTCCCTAGTCACTAAGAGAACTTAAGCAAAAGCTGACTGGAAACCAGTCCACACCTACCTCCTCATTTGATGCTCCTAGCTCACATATATACTGTTGGCCTTGTTCTAATCACGTAGTAACTAGGGACCACAATGAAAAGTTCACCACTTTGTATTTTCTTGGCACTAAATTCTACCATAAAAGAAATTCTCATAAAAGACTTTGTATAGAGGAGACAAAATGACATAATGAAGACTATTCTCATCAAAAGCTTTATGGCATGCCAAAACAGGTTTGGCTCAGTGGATAGAGCGTCGGCCTGTGGACTGAAAGGTCCCAGGTTCGATTCTGGACAAGGGCATGTACCTTGGTTGCGGGCACATTCCCAGGTGTGCAGGAGGCAGCTGGTCGATGTTTCTCTCTCATCAATGTTTCTAACTCTCTATCCCTCTCCCTTCCTCTCTGTAAAAAATCAATAAAAAAAAAAGCTGTATGGCAAAGCAAAGCCAGACATCTATTTCATAGGACCAATTTATGGTTCTCATAAACTGATGAATAAAAACACCTGCCAAATACAAACTATGACAGCCAGAAATAACTTACCGATATCACAAGTACCACTCAAACCTCCAACCAATTTTCTCACTGCCTTTCCAGAAATAGTCTAAGAAACTACGATGCTTCTAGATATGAACCAGAGCTTTTACCTGTCCCATAAATAAGCTTCTGGAGATTTGGCGTTGCTTGTTGCTGCCTCAGGAAGGCCTCAGCTGCCTTCCTGGAAAGGTCTTCCTTCCATTTGAGGGCACCTGGAAAGACCAATGCCAATCAATTAAGGCTGTTTTATCTGTTGTCTCGACTTCAGGCTCACTGCTCATCACCCTGAAATCCTTTTTTGAAGTATAATATTTGAAGTTAACAAATATTCAAAACAGCAGACCCCCAAATGTAGACATTTTATTTGTACAACTAGAAGCCCGATGCATGAAATTCATGTAAGAGTAGGCCTTTCTTCCCCCAGCTGCCGGCACCGGCTTCCCTCTGGCACCCCGGACCCAGGCTTCCCTCACAGCCCTGGCTTTATCTGGAAGGTCGTTTGGAAGGACATCCAGTCTAATTAGCATATTATGCTTTTATTATTATAGACTAGTGGCCCAGTGCACGAAATTTGTGCGGGGGGGGGGGGGTCCCCCTCAGCCTGACCTGCACCCTCTCCAATCTGGCCCCTCGAGGGATGTCAGACTGTTGGTTTAGGCCCAATCCTGCACCGGTAGTCAGATATCCCTCTCAAAATTCGGGACCAGTGGCTCCTAACTGCTCACCTACCTGCCTGCCTGATCGCCCCTAACCACTCTGCCTGCCAGCCTGATCGCTTCTAACTGCCGGCCTAATCGCCCCCAAATGCCCCCCCGCCGGTCTGTGGGCGCTGGAGTAATGCTGGAAAACGGAAATTAGGAATTGGGAGCCATTTATTGGGAGCCATTACAGTTCGGCCTTTAGTGACTGACTTCTGGGGAGGCCCTCCTTCTCTCTGGACCTCATTCGCCCCAACTGTAAAATGGGGCTTGGATAACTGGATTCCTAGGCCCCTTCCAATGTGACAACTGAGAGTCTGCAAAAGCTCTAAGCAGCTGGTGTGGCCCAGCCCCCTGGGTGCCCAGAAAGGCCCAGGCTGGGGTCACACACGGAAGGGCTCCAACCCCCCCCAGACCGCAGTCTGAGCTTCCCGAAAAACTTCGGGTCTCCCTTTAATGGCGTGTACCCCGTGATTGCACCATGGCTGGCACTTCTGTACCGTGGGCCCTTCCGCCCAGGCAGGGTGCACACTCCACACCCTGCGCCCGTGCTGCTCCCACCGCAGAGGCACTCGTGCCTGGGGAGGCTGGGGGCTCCTGAGGCACCTGCAGGCAGAGGGTGGGGGGAAGGAAGGAGGGTTTGCAACAATACCTCTGGGAGAAGGCAGCTGAGGCAGCGGCGGTGGCAGTGGTGGCTGGAGGTGGTGGCTAAGGCATAGGAGGAGGTGCCCAGGCACTCCCCTTCACATTGTCTCCCAGCCCCGTGCCCCACAGTGTGTCCCGCACCCCAGACCGTGCAACCAGCCCTTACCTTGCAGCACCCAGCTGTCCCCCTGCTCGCTAAAGCTACTTATCCCAGGAAAGCTTGTGCGGGGCCCAGGAGCAAACCCACAGATAAAAAGTGAAACTTCGGCAGGGCTAGAGCAACTGCTGGTTGGTGCCTTTCCCCCTCCTTCTTTCCCACCAGCCCCACCCCCTCCCCTCATTCTCCGGTGCGGTGCCCTGAGAGCTGGAAGCTGACATCAGGGGCCTGAATTCCTGACTTTGCCTGCACTCATTTGACCATGTAAGATATGGGAAGACGGGTGCCCGGGAGCTACACAGCGCTGCCTGCTGGGGGAGGGGGCATCTGCAGCAGGCAGGGGCTGTGCCAAAAGGTGGGTGCACAGCAGATATTTTATTTCCTGGAAATGAGAGGAGGGGACCTGGGGGTGCAGGGTGTGTCTGCTGGCTCTGGCCCCAGCAGCCCAGTGCCGTGGCCTCCGCGGGGCTGGGGCTGGGGTCCAGACCCCCCTGTGGGCTTGTGTGTCCACCGGCTCTGGCTCTGTGGCTCCAACCGGTGCCACCATCTTTGTCACAAACTGATGGTTAATTTGCATATTACTCTTTTATCAGATAGGATATGTCAGTGCCAAGTTTATAAGGGCAGTTAAATTTAGGCATACCTGAAGTTTCTGTGGAATAATTACTTGCTTCCTTGTACTCTTCTTCCTCTTTGAGTAAGTCTTCTATATCACTGGTCTCATCAGTCAAGCTCTCTGACTCCCGTTTCTGACCACTGACCACGTGAGGCTTTGGAAACTTCTTCCTAATAGGTGCTTCATTTTCTGAGTCCATTTCCTCTGTACTGAGAGAGGAGTTTCCTTCTGATTCATCTTCAGATGCAAATGCCTCTTCAGCTGTGCAATGGCCGGAATCTGAAGTCGTGAGGGCTGCTTTTTTCATTGTCTTCTCCAGATTCAAACGGTCACTCAGACCATTACTGTGTTTACTGCCTTTTTCTAAAGCCTCAGAGTCTAAAATATCCCTCTCTCCTGCACTGGAGCCCTCTTCTTCACTGCTTTCATCAGCTTCCTCTACTTCTCCTTCATCCTCTGAGCTCCTCTCCAGGTCATCATCACTGTCAGCAAATGCTGGCAAATCTATCTCGGTGTCTTCTTCCATCTCAAGTCTCTGCCGTTTGGCACCTTTGTCAGCTATATAGACTTTACCAGTCACTTCATCATCTTCTTCCTCTTCTGTTTCATCACTAGAGCTATTTTCCAACCTGTCACCTTCAGACATTTCTTCATCATCTTCAGGATCACTATCCCCAGACTCATCTTCCTCGCCTCCAAAAATGGCTTTTCGACGTACTCGACCAGTTTTTAAATCCACCTGCTTTTCCTCTTTTGGCATCCACAGCCTATATTACCAAGTAAAGCAAAATAATTCAACACGTAAAACAATCTGCTAATCTAGAAATGGCAAGTCAATAAATATACAAAGCAGAAAATACTGTCAAGGGATGGTTTTAAATGACATAGCACAGAAAGGAATGATTTAATAAGTACTGTAATATTTAATAAGCAAACTCATACGCAGTTCCCTAACAACACTTAAAAAAGAAAAAGACTAATTTTAGGGAAAAACTGTTCAAAATGGAAGCGAGAACTCAATAGATCTTTTAGAAGACTAATCACTTCCAAACTTGAACCAGATGATCCTTAGAAAAATGGCTAACTACAGGTCCAAGGCAGGGAAAGTACAAAGTAGCCTGGAACATCCTGCTGTGTCAGCAGCCAGGAAGTGCTCAAAGAGCAAAAGAAATGTGCCAAAACGACACGAGACAGGCTAAAAGGACAACATAGGCACAGAAAGAACAATGATAATAACAGGATAGTAACAAATGAAATAAACAAAAATGTCCATTGTCAAGTGATACTAAAATAAAGGGGTAGAAATGAAAGCTCCTTGCTAAAGCATGCCAGCTAACAAATGAAGAACATTGCCATTTTGCACTGGCTGGCTGGCTTGGTTGATTGGGGCATCGTCCCATACACCAAAAGGTTGCAGGTTTGATCCCTGATGGGGCAGGTGCAGGAGGCAACGGATAGATGTTTCTCTCACATCAATGTCTCTTTCTCTCTCAATGAAAAATATATCCTTGGATGAGGATTAAAAAAGAAAGAAAGAAAGAAAAAATATTGCCATTTTGAAATCAACAATGCAATACTTGATAAAGAATCATCATCAAGATGCTAAATCCAGTCCTGGCCAGTGTGGCTCACTTGGGTGTCATCCATGCACTGAAAGGTTGCCAGTTCAATTCCCAGTCAGGGCACATGCTGGGGTTGCAGGGTCGATCCCCAGTAGGGGATGTGCAGAAGGCAGCCAATCAATATTTTTTTCCCCTCTCTCTCTCACGCTCCCTTCCTCTCTCCCTAAAAATCAATAAAAAATCTTTAAAAAAAAAATACTAAATTCACGAGATAAAATAAAAACTTATGAAGCTATTTAATGTAGTTTATAGGAAATTGTGGAAAAATACTAAAAATTGTACTAAGAGAGATTATATAAGTTAAATATACCAATAACAAAGTGATGACTATATAAAAAGACTATAGAAAAAAGAAATGTTCACAATATAGACACAGAGATTTTATATGATTATGACTGTAACTATGTTAGAGTGTCCATGTAGACAAGGATGACCAAAATACTTAAATGAAAATAGCTAATAACACTGACCATAATAGGGATCTTTAATACTTGCTATCTGCATTATGCTAAATAGTTTATGTATACTATCGCATTTAATAATCATTACTACTATGAGATTATAAAACTGAGGCTTAGAGATGTTTTCCCCAAATAGTAGAACTATTGCACTCAACTACCATGCTATACCATCTGCTAGTTAAGAGGCAGATGATTTTTTTTCTTCATTAGTATTTATTTATAACTAGAGGCCCAATGCATGAAATTTGTGCGAGGGGCTTGGCCCTCGCAGCCATGGCGGCTTGTCTCGGCCCTCGCAACCCCGGCTTCGTCCGGAAGGTCGTTTGGTTGTCCGGTCTAATAAGTATATTACGCTTTCATTATTATAAACTAGAGGCTCGGTGCATGAAATTTGTGTACGGTGGGGGTAGGGGGGTGTCCCTCAGCCCGGCCTGCACCCTCTCGCAATCTGGGACCCCTTGGGGGATGTCCGACTGCCAGTTCTAAACTGGCAGTCGGACATTCCTCTCCCAATCCGGGACCGCTGGCTCCTAACTGCTCACCTGCCTACCTGCCTGATCGCCCCTAACTGCCTCTGCCTGCCTGCCTGATCCCCCCTAACCCCTCGCCTGACTGCCTAATTGCCCCTAACCGCCTCTGCCTCGGCCCCTGCCACTGCAGCTTGGTCTGGAAGGACATCCGGAATGATGTTTGGAAGGTCGTTCAGCTATCCGGTCTAGTTAGCATATTATGCTTTTACTAGAGGCCCGGTGCATGAAAATTCATGCACTGGAGGTAGGGGTCCCTCACCCCAGCCTGCCTCCTCTCACAGTCTGGGAGCCCTCAGGGGCGGGAGGTGACCCGGCAGCGCAAGCCTCGGGTGGCCCTGGGCGGCTGGGCAGCCATCATCCAAGGCTTGCCTGCGCCTTGGGCCAGCCCTGGGTGGCTGAGGGGACTGGGGGACTCCAGGCCCACCTGGCCCTAGTGGGGTTGAGGGGACTGGATGCTGCCATCTTGTGGCTGTGGGCGCCGCCATCTTTGAAGGTGTGGCAGTCAATTAGCATATTCCCTCCTTATTGGCTGTGGGCGCCGCCATCTTTGCGAAGGTGTGAGGGTCAATTAGCATATTCCTTCTTTATTAGATAGGATTACTATAGATAAGCTATAAACTAGATAATCTCAATCATTTTCAGAATGATTTTTATTGAGTCACAAATTACTTCAATAAAACTATGTACAAGGTATACAAATTCCCAACCCAGACTGAAAATAATTTGTATAAGCCACACATTAGTGGAAATCACCCCACAAGAGATACTACAACACAATGTAAGTAACACCTTCAGAGACAAAAATGTGTGGCTTCTGGACAGCCATGTGCACAAGCTCCCTGACTCTGCTTGCTCCACTATTTTGAAGCAATCTATGGAAAATGTTTTGTGATAGTTGAGGAATATTCTGGGTCTGTTAAAAACAGAATTCTCCATATTGTTTTAAGAAATGCCATGTAATGTGACCTAGGGGAAGAGCTCTCAGAAACATATGCACATACAAAGCAAAGCAAAATGCCCTGCAATGAACCACACCAAAATGTGTCCTGATAGGTTATGGGTGATAGAATCTTCTGTAGTATAATTTTTTTTTTAATTAAAAATAGAAAAATAGCAAACTTACCCTTGATTATCTATATCCTCTGACCCCAGTGGTTTGGAATCAGAAAAAAGTGTCACTCTACTTGAAGCCATCTTGGCATCAATAGTGGAATGGGTGGAAATGAGACTCTGGACCAGTTCATGGGTGGGCCTTGCCTCGTCCTGCCAAGGCGACCAAGAAAGGGAAAATGAGGAATGCACAAGGACTGTGAAGAGACACACTGGCTTCAATTACTTTCTCAAAATAACCCTAAACACAGCTCCTGAAAACCCTTCTTCCTGCCTCAAAAAGAAAAAATTCTTATAACAAAGCCTAGTTGAATTCTGTCCTCATTAAACTTTTTCAAAGTTCACGGAGTACATAACCTGATAACCTAAATATTTTGCTAGAAAAACCTTACGTGCTGAAGCTACAGAATGTACTCACTTTAGCCCAATTAAATCCCATTTCAGAACAGTAAAAGAAAAATGAGGTGTATGCACACAATGAAATACCACACAACTGTCTACAGACAGAAATAGCTCTACAAATACTGACAGGGAACAACAGAATTACATATTCTTAAGTGCCAAATCTTGTAAAAGCATTTATAGTTAGATACCATATTACTTCTCTTTCTCTCTCACACACACAGATACATTATAATATTTACAGTTAATATATAATAATGTAAATAAACATTATATATTGAGAGAGAAAACCAAAGACCAAAGAGCTAGAGCTAGAAAACACATTGATTTTATATAAGGATAGATGGAAGTCAGGCACCACGCTGCTTACAGTGCTCATGTTGGGAGATGTGGGATCCTGTGAATCTTGCAGCAGGGAGTTACAGGGGACATGCCTTTTACTTTCTGCTGAATGCGGTTAAATATTCTGCATATTTATAATAGGCATTATCATAAATACGAATATAGATTACAAAGCTCCAATTATATTATGCCTGTGACTGCCCTCACCGATTCCTGGAAGCCGTGGCTGCCACCAAGGTCGACATAGACAGCATCTTTATCATACAGCACACCGCCAACTCCAGAGAGAGGTGCATAAACCAACTTCTCCTTTTCATTTAAGCAGCGCTTCTTTTGCTGTTCAGGAAGGGCACAGGGGTCTGGTAGGAAACTGATGTCACTCACAGCAAAATCTCCTACACCTGGAAGAGAGACAGGAAAATGGCTTCAGCTGACAAATCTACCAACTGTCAGCAGGAATGGCCCAGTCAGAAGGCTTCAATCACGACAAGGGCATCCTCGACATTGGCACTGTGTCTCTCCAGCTAACAACAGAGCAGAGGAGACTTGGCAACTCAGTGTTTGCCGGCCAAGCAGAGCTGAGTTACTCTTAAAGCCTCCAGCAAGGTGGCTCTACCTTGTTTGGCCAATTTGAAGTTTTCCTCAGAAGATGAAGTCATATAAGAAATTCTATAAATACAGTACATCTTACAACGAAAGAATACCTGGCATGTGAATTTGGCTTTTATTTTTCATATGTGCTCCTCTTAAATAACCATAAAGAGACACCTTTCGGTCACACTTGGCATTCGTTCGGATATCTTCTGGGTTTGTCAAATCTTCCATCCTAGAAAAATAAAACCCAATCACATGGCAGAAATGAATGTCAGAGTTCGTGTACCGCCCCCACCCCCCGCCTTCACGTGTCAATAATTCAACACCCTCACTAGTTCACTCATCACGTTTAAAAAAGTATAGAAAATACAGAAATAAGGAAGCACAGTTCACCATCTACCAGAGGAAAAGAAGCAAACACATGATTGCACCTTAGGCTCTATGAACTATACATTCCTTTAAGTAAGACCCCAGAAATGGGGAATGCATGTCCCTGGGGTCAGGGAAGGAAGAGGATTAAGCTTGGATCTGGGGTTTTTTAGTGTGCGTTGGGTTCTGGCAGGTGGAATAAGGGTACCCCAGGCTAAGAAAACAATATGGAAAAAAAAGCATAAAGGAAGGAAAACACAGGACACACCTGAGTGACTGGAGCACCAACTTAAGGTTGGAAAAGCAGGATGGAGCCACATCCTGCAGCCTTAAATGCTTCAAAATCCTCACACTTTTCTAAACATTTCATACTTTATTCCCAAAGCCACAGCATCTTTATGTAATAATACAAAAATAAGTAGATATTTTCCATCAACCACATTTCTCCCTCCACTATTCACAAAGAAACACAAAATAAGCTATATTACTGTTCTTTTTCTGACCTCCTTAGCTTTGAAATATCAGGGCAAGGAAGAAAAAATGACATTCACTTTTTACCTGTCTGCCAGGATATAAGGGTGAGATGTCTGCCATGTCAGAGGCCTAAACTTCATAACTGTAATAAAACGGCCCAGATTGTGAATTTCTTGGTTTTGATATTCTCCATGTACCATTCCAGAAAGGTAGAACAGCTTGGCACCCTAAACATAAAGAAAAAAGAAATTAAATTTCAACTAAATTCCTGTAGATAGTGCACTAAAATAAAGGCCTCTAAATAAGCAGCAAGGCTAAGAAAGCAAGACTCCTAGCAAACCACGGTGCCAATGCTTCCGGAACCTCTCCAGCCTCTCAGGAACCATCTTGTTAGGGCTTCGTAAGAACAGAACTGCAAATACATTTACTTTCAAAACTGCTCTGCAGTCCAGCAGTGGCACCTGTCTGGAGTACTGCAGTGAGGCTCCTGGGCACAAAACATCCTGAGACCAATGGGCCGCACCAGTGTGAGGGGAGGGAGGAGGGGCAGTATGTGTGCACTTGTTCTTGGCCCTGTCACTACGAGAACCTTTGGACACACTCTATTAAGTCACAAACCCAAACCACTTAGAACAGTGGTTCTCAACCTTCCTAATGCCGTGACCCTTTAATACAGTTCCTCATGTTGTGGTGACCCCCAACCATAAAATTATTTTCATTGCTATTTTCGTTGCTACTTCATAACTGTAATTTTGCTACTGTTATGAATCGTAATGTAAATATCTGATATGCAGGATGTATTTTCATTGTTACAAATTGAACATAATTAAAGCATAGTGATTAATCACACAAAAAAATATGTAATTATATATGTGTTTTCCGATGGTCTTAGGCGACCCCTGTGAAAGGGTCGTTTGACCCCCAAAGGGGCCGAGACCCACAGGCTGAGAACCGCTGACTTAGAACCAGACCCTGCCTGGTGCTGGGGGACAGAGACAAATGAGACACACTAAGAGTCTGTCCAGAATAAAGACTACCTCGAGGAAGTATACCAGGGGCTATCAACAGATATATAGGAGGTGAGTCCTGTAGAGATGCTTGTTAAGATCTCCCACTCATGCAGTCTATTTCGAAAGGATTACAGGGTTAGTATTCAATAACTAATTATCTACCTACCGGGTAGACTTCTGTCCAGAACCTGTGCTTCAATCGCTTCTTCGCCTTCTTCAGTTGCTTATTATACTTGAAGGAATCTAGATGAGTGAGAACGCCCATAATTTTAGGAAAGCCGTGTACTTGACAGATGTTTAGAAACTCAAATGTTTCCATTTCAAACCCGAAGCTGGCATCTATGAGCATCAGAACCTAAAAACAGAAGACAATTTCTCAAGGAAACTACCCAAAACAGACCATCAGAAAACTAAGGCCTATGGGCCAAATCCCAGCCAGCACAACTCAAGTTTTACTGGAATATAGCCATGTTAATTCATTTATGTATTGCCTATACTTACTTTTTTTTTTTTTTAACTGTAACCCAAAGATATTCTCTCCATTGATTTCTAGAGAGAGTGGGAGGAGGGGGAGAGAGAGAGAGAAACATCAACATGGAGACACATTGACTGGCTGCCTTCCACACGTGCCCCTACTGGGGCTGGGGAACCTGCAACCAAGGTACGTGCCTTTGACCAGGAATCGAACCCAAGACCCTTTGGTCTGTGGGCCTACGCTCTAACCACTGAGCACGGCCAGGGCTCTACACCTGCTTTTAAGCTACAACTGCAAAGTTAAGTAGTTGCAACAGAAACTATGACCCACAAAGCCTATCTGGCCCTTTACTGAAAATGCGCAACTCTGCAACTCCTGATCTAGACTAAATCAAATGATTATTTAGGAATAACTATGATAGAGAAAAAAAAACAAAACATCTTTTGATTTGCTCTAAAAGGTAAACATGAGACAATATCTACCAAGATATAAACTTCCACGTCAGGAATTTTGATGTCTGAGAAATAACTCAGAAAAGGCTGCATCTACTTTAGCCCTTATCTGAAAAAGTTCTTACTTCAAGAAATAAACTGTTTGGCAAGGTGTTTTTAAGCCAATAACAGGTCTCTCTAACAAAGAAGCCAAATCTTTGACATCCAAAAAATGGGAGAAAATGATAATGAAAAATATAAAAAATGTAGAGAATACCAAATATTTGTTTCAATTTTCTCATATGGAAAACAAGTCTTTTGTTGGGAAGAATGTAGTAGAAAAGCTCTATCTTATATATTAATTTGTAACATGCAATTGCTCAGAAACTAAAAAAAGAAGGCTACCAGTTTAGAATGGAGTCAAAGATAGTGAAATTATAAATGGTAATCTATAAAAGATAAGCAGATAAGACTAATTTTTAAAATTTATGACCCTTCAAATAATTTCAGAGTTGATTCCTAGAGACTTCTAGTTTTAAGATATTACATCTCTGTCTTCATCTTTTTATAGATAATTAGAAATAATTTTTAGCCCTGTCAGTGTGGCTCAGTAGTTGAGTGTCAACCCATGAACCAGGAGGTCAGTTTGATTCTCGATTGGGGCACATGCCCAGTGGCGGCCTCAATCCCCAGTAGGGGGCATACAAGAGGCAGCCGATAGATGATTCTGTGTCATCATTGATGCTTCTGGCTCTCTCCCTGTCCTTTCCTCTGAAAATCAATAAAAACATTTTTAAAATATAATAATTTTTAAATACAGAAAAACTTATCTGATTAAATTACGGAACATTCATAATCCTGAACCACAAACTACATGAAGGTGGTCTGCTGAGTATTGTGAAAGTATAGCTGCTGCTGCAGAGCATAGGCTGAGCAGCACACAGAGCTGTCCAAGGACACTGGGGCAGGCTGAAGGGGAGCGAGCTGGCGGTGGTATCCCTATATCCCACTTGACAACATGGAGTGACAAGGGGCAAGCAATTAGTTGTATGATCAGAAAAACTGGTGGCAAACACAATCTTTGTCTTAGTTACAACCTTTGCCAACTGAAGATAAATGAAACCTGCATTCCTCCTCCAGTGCACACACATGTGCATGCAAACACAAATCTGTGTATTATGTATGCCTGCTGTGACTTAGAAGGCTTTATAACAACCCAGAGCAGAGCAATCAACAAAAGCCAGGTTAAATAAATACGGTACACACAATGGAATACTTAGCAAGGTTGAGCTTATTTACCTCAAAGAAATGCTAAGTGAAAAAAAACAAAGCACCTGAGTATAATAAACACCGTGTGCTTCAAAAGGGTTACATGTGTATGTATAGACCAGCCGTGGGCAAACTACGGCCCGTTTGAAATGAGTAAAACTAAAAAAAAAAA